TCCACCTCCACTCACACCCTCACCTCCACTCTCACCTCCACTCTCACCCTCCACTCTCACCCTCCACCTGAGGTATTACTCACGCTCATTACCCTAATTTTTAATCCATCTTTATTGCTTCGGCTTCCTCGTCTGGCCTCTTAACCTCCTTCTCACCCCGTTGGCTTCCTCCTCCTCCTCCTCTTTGACTTCTTTCTCTCCCTGTTCCTTCTCTTAATTCCTTCTTCCTCGTTTTCTTTTCCTTATTTTTCTTGTTTTCTTCAATAACAACAACAATAATAATATAGCAATAATAATGATAAAATACTTCTACTACTACTACTACTAATAATAATATTAATATTAATATTAAGTAAGGCACACTAACCCGGCTGGGGTCGACGCCCACCCTCACCACTGCTGGGTAAAGAACATTATTAACTACACATAAACAAGGCGGCAGGTGAGGGTGGTCCGGTCGCCCACATGTACACACGTGCCAGGGATCACAAAGGTACACACACACACACAGAAGCAGATCAGATGTGATGGTGATGCATCTTGTTCCTTAAGATTAACCCAGATCTGCGTGTTGATCTGTCACAAAGAGCCTGATTACGAGCAGCTCTAGCCAGGCAGCCGGGTCACTGGCCGGGCCCGACGATGTACATTGTACAGTACAGTACAATACACAGTAAGAGGGTAAACTGTCGATTCCCGGGGCACTGCATAAAAGTGTTCATTAAATTAGCCTGGCAGGTTTTAAGGGAGGATAATACTAAGGTGATGTGTCGTCTGCCAACTTACTGCTGGAGTTTTCTTCCGGCGACGGCCACCTTGACGAAGGACACCACACTTACTTCACAGCCAAGATAAACACCTCCCTCTTATGTCCCCAAGCAGGTCGGCGGGGCATTATGGAAACATGTACGTTGTGGCATATTTTCTGGTTAACGCCATGTTTTAATACAGTTGGTGAATAACCTTTGTTGGATATGTATCCCTGGTAACTCCAAGAGGAAGAAGCCTTTACATAAACGGCCAACTCCGATTATCTGTTGTTGGTACAAAGTGGACACGACACGACGGGGGTTAATTTCAATCCTAGGTAAAGTTTTCCTCATACAATAAAGTAAACTAGAATATTACTCAGCCTAAAGCATCTGTCATGGTCAGATAACCTCTTGTTGGTCAGTATGACTGTATGAACCATCTGTATAAACTTTTGACTCTTATAATATTTAGCCAGTAACTCAGCTATATTCCTCACCAATAGAAGCTTCCCGAGTGACCTAAAATCCACAAGTTCGGTAACAGCTCTGCCGATATTGATGACTCGAGGCATGACGTTCTCCCCGTGAGCTCACTCCGACCTACCAACTGAGAGTGTTACCGCCAACATGGGCGGTCCTTTAATGGCAAAATACCATCGTAGACTAACTTAAACATTCACATACCCACATAAGCAGCCCTTTTACTCCAGCATACCAACTGAGGCGAATTTCAAACCCCCACGACGCGACGCCCCACATGCCAGCACAAATGACTTTTAAAAACATCCACCCACTCATCCACAAAGATCCTTCCTACCTATGCCAACCCCACGTACACCTTGCTCAGGCCAAGCTAGAACCCCCCCCCCTCCATCTGCCACCAAGTAAAAGAGATGCTTGAGAATCCCACGTCCGTCAGCACCTAAAGACGTCGTGTTTTTAAAGTCCCCCCCCCCAGCCCCCTCCCTCTTCTGCCACCGTGTAAAGGTGTGTATGAGAATCGTTTTCCTTCCTCCCTGCACCAAATACAGAAGATGTGTTTGATAATTCTTTCTCTACCACCTATCAAAGGTAATGTTGCTTGGGGACCCTCTTATCTTTCACCAGTTACAGATGGTGCTTGAGAACCCTCTGTCTAAAGAAGAATTTGTTTGGCCCCATCAACCCCAACCACATCACACAGACGAGACGCTGCACCTTAGCCAAGAACCTGTCAGGGCAGGAACCCAAAACATAGATGAGAAAAACCCAGCTGAGATGGTTTAGAGGGGCGCCGGCTGATGGGTTTATGGTGAACTAAGCGATGCCACTTGGAGCCAAGATTTGTGTGGAGGTTGTGCGACGGATGTGACCCCCTTTGAGACCGGGGGAGGGGGGAAGAGGGGTGAAGGGGGAGGGGTGAAGGGGGAGGGGATACATTTTACACACGAGGGGCGACGCGTAGTGCTGAGGTGTGTCTTTTAGGTTAAGGGGGTGACATGTGGTGCTAAGGTGTGTCTTTTAGGTTAAGGGGGTGACAAGTGGTGCTAAGGTGTTTTGATATGCTCTCTCTCTCTCTCTCTCTCTCTCTCTCTCTCTCTCTCATGTGGTACTTAGGCTACACTGAGCAACATACTGTACATGGTTTAGTGTCGGAAGTGTTTGGTGTCACGGGAACTGCCATTTTATTGGAAGGTGTACAGTGGTTTTCTGAGACGATGTAATCTACAGTCGAGGGATGTGTCATGGATGGAAGGATGTGTCATATGGATGGAAGGGTGTGTCATGGATGGAATGATGTGTCATGGACGGAAGGAAGTGTCATATGGATGGAATGATGTGTCATGGAGGGAAGGAAGTGTCATATGGATGGAAGGGTGTGTCATAGATGGAATGATGTGTCATGGAGGGAAGGAAGTGTCATATGGATGGAATGATGTGTCATGGAGGGAAGGAAGTGTCATATGGATGGAAGAAGTGTCATGGACGGAAGTGTGTGTCATATGGATGGAAAGAAATGTCATGGACGAAGGGATGTGTCAGGGACGGATGGATGTGTCACATAGATGGAAAGATGTGTTAGGTGCTTGGAAGGATGTGTCATAGATGGAAGGATGTGTCATAAGGACGGAAGAATGTGTCATGGACGGAAGAATGTGTCATGTGCATGGAAGGATGTGTCATAGATGGAAGGATGTGTCATAAGGACGGAAGGATGTGTCATGGATGGAAGAATGTGTCATATGAATGGAAGAATGTGTCATGGACGAAGGGATGTGTCAGGGACGGAAGGAAGTGTCATAAGGACGGAAGGATGTGTCATAAGGACGAAAGGATGTGTCATATGGATGGAAGAATGTGTCATATGAATGAAAGAATGTGTCATGGACGAAGGGATGTGTCAGGGACGGAAGGAAGTGTCATAAGGACGGAAGGATGTGTCATAAGGACGGAAGGATGTGTCATATGAATGGAAGAATGTGTCATGGACGAAGGGATGTGTCAGGGACGGAAGGAAGTGTCATAAGAACGGAAGGATGTGTCTTAAGGACGGAAGGATGTGTCATAAGGATGGAAGGAGGCGTCATGAAAGGAAGGACGTGTCACCTGGGCTAGTGTGGGGTATAGGATGCACCAGTGTGTATTAGCGTGTTAACAGGCGCCTTGAATTACGGAACCTAATGTAATCCAAATAGCTGATCTACACCTAACCTAACCAAGCAACCTCTTCTAACCCAAATATCGCATCCTACCGTAAGTTAACCCAGCTGGCGAGAGAGTGTACAGTGTTGTCTAGGTAAAGCTTATTAGTGACAACATTATTGGTGGACGTGACAGATTTATAAGTGGAAGCAGCAGATATTCGCTTATTGACGACAACAGTGTAAATGTTTTATAAGTGACTATGACACTCTTGAAGATAAATATCCAGAGTAAATTTATGAGGCGATTTCCTATCAGGACTAAACGATACTAACAACTGTCAGTAGTGACTGTCACGCCTGTTCGTGAGCACTTTTTGCCAGCTTGTGTACACAATACTTGTAACAACTGTTTCCCGTGTGTCACGAACACTTTGATGTTATGCTCACAAAACACTTGTAACATTTGTGTCACACCTGCCAAAAACACTTGATCCCAACATGTACACAAACACACATTTGGGATTTGTTACGCTTGTCAACATGTTATGTCAACTTATGCACACAACACGTGTGACAAGTCACTGACAACTGTCTTGCCGTATTAATATTTATGTCAACATATACATACAACACTTGTAACAACTCTCGCACTGTCAACGTGATGCAACAATAGTAACAGCTGTGTCATGCCTGACAAGAACACTTTACTTCAACAAACTCTCACAATTTGATGTTTCAGTTGCCAAAGTGAATATCCAAAAGCAGGGGAAATACTGGAACAAATTGGCGGTGTCTGATATTGTTGTGTCACCGTAGAAACGGTAACAGTTGTTGAGGAGAGTGTCCAGTGTGTCCCGCGGTACTATAGTGGACAAAAGTCCCTTCCTTCAGCCCTCCCTCTCTTTCCCCCTCTGGCCCCCATCTCACTTTGGTCCCCAGCCCCCGCCTTACGCACTACACAGTGCGCCATCTGTTGGACAACTACAGCACTTCCCTCAGTTGCTTCGTTATTCGAACCTCAGGTGATTCAGTCACATTGTGGCTGGCTGAGGGAAGGAACTTTTGTCCACCATAGTACATTACTCTTGTCCGTACACACCATAACTCTCCTCTTATTATTTCGCTTTTGATGGAACTTGTTAATAAAATTCTTGTATGAACGGTCTTGTATGCGACTTTACTTGATCAATCAGTGACTTTCTTGGGTGTGTTTCTGGGCAGGTTGTGAACGCTATATCTAAAACGAATAGAGAATTAATTGTTGAAATTGTGTTCGATGATAAAACCCAACAAGATTTTCGATGTATTCAGTTATGAGAACTTCACACCAAACCAGGACCCTTGTCGCCTCCCTGTAAGGACCTGCATATAAAATCGATTAGTTGTCTTTAATTTTATTGGTTTTATGATATTCGCCTAAAATGTATTTAAGAAATGTATAGTTTTTTGTAGGCAGGTGTTGTAGTTGTAGGAGGTTAATGAGAACATTTATAACATTATTGATGTTAAGGGTCGTGTGAGAGGTTATAATGATCAGTAGTAACTCTAGTTGTTACTAACTGTTTGTTATTTATGTGCTTATTATTAAAAGTATTAAAGGTTGTTGTTGTTGTGGTTGTTACAGCGATGTGGTGGAGCACAGGACGGTGCACCATGAGTTCCGGACGACTCACCAGACGCTGCCTTCGTCGCCACCAGCACAGACCCAGATCAGTCCTCGACCGCAGCCGCAGATGCAGCTGCAGTCACAGACGCAAATGCACCAGCACCAACAGCCGCAGATGCAGCTGCACTCACAGCCGCAGATGCAGCCACAGCCGCAGATGCAGCCACAGCCGCAGATGCAGCCACAGCCGCAGCCTTCAGCCTCCACGGCCACCAAGGAGCTGGACGACCTGATGGCCTCCCTAAGCGACTTCAAGGTAAAGGAGGAACCAGGTGCTAGCCCGACCAAAGTCCAGGTGGTGCAGGTCGTCCAACCCAGACCGCAGGCGGTGTCGGCGGCCATAGGAGGAGGCGGTGAGGGTGCTACTGCTGCAGGGCACGGCCTCAACACACTCACGGTACGGCTTAACCACCCACGCCTCTACCTCACATCCCACGCCCGCTCCCCTACCTCGCACCACCACCAACATCACCCAAACCTTACCTCAGTATGTTGTTTGGTCACCAGATCCTTGGTCGTCTGTGTCCTGGTACAACAGTCTGACTTGTAGAGAGTCTGTCTCTCTTTATATATATATATATATATATATATATATATATATATATATATATATATATATATATATATATATATATATATATATATATATATCATATGTCAAGTCACTTTCGTGTTACCAGTGATATGAACTGACACAACGGGATCAAGATCAAACATTTAAGCTGAGATAGTGTGTGGGCGTGTTTGGGCGGGTGGAGGAGGGTGGGCCATGTGGGTGTGAAGGTTGGGCCGCCCACAGCGGGACAAGTGTACTGGCTTCAGCGTCGGGCAGGATGAAGTATCCCCACTCAGCCACCTACTCTTGCTGCACCTGTCTGATTCGCGCTTCGCCCTCTTATTAATTTGCCTCCCCTCCCCCCCCCTTCCTTCACTCCTACTGTTTACATTACTTGTTTTCGTCTGTCACTTTTCTATTTGCCTGTTATTCTTCAGTGTTTCATCGCTTCTTTGTTTGGTCATTGCTTTCATTCGTGTTTGCTTACATTTTCTTCGCCTTCATCATTATAATCCACATACCTCGCCCCGCCTTTCTCTGTGTTGTAGGTCTATCTTTGATATATATATGTCCACCGAATTTGTTACTTATTATTCTTCAACATTTTGTAAGCTTCGTTGAAGCAGCTAAACCTCCTAAACACCTTCAGGTATTGGCAAGTGGCCTTCACCTTTAAGTGTACTGGATCATTATCTTGGCTCAGATTAAAGTTTGGTGACCCTCGGGGGTGTAGTCAGCGTGTACCAGCTATCACCGCACACAGTATGTTACCAGAGATACATCCATTCATTTCACTGCTGAGAATAACTCGCAAGTTTTGAATAATTTCTTAATGAAATCAATTATTTAAAGAGACGTGATCACTAATTTTCGCGAAGTGCCACATAAACGTCTCAACCCCCGAGTAGAGCGGTGTGCCCCCTCCTCCACCATCCATTGGCATAAGTGTCGCTCTGACAAAAATTTTTGTCTGTTGCCCTTTGCCATAGTACTAAAGGTGAAAGGTCACAGCACGTAAGGTCACTAAAAGATGACGGGATGGAGGAGTAAGTGTGGGCGATGCTCTCACACCGTCTTCCACTAACATCATGACCACCACCTACAGGTCCCCAGCCGTCACCAACACTTCGTCCCTCCCTGGCCAGATATCCCTCCTCCTAGAGACAGGCCCGGCGCTTGACATTATTAGGGACCTGTCACGCTTTACCATAAACAGATGAATTGTATCGGGAATCCCCCCTCCCACACACACTCCTTATCCTGTCACTATATGCAACTTGCTGAGAAAATCCACGACCTTTCAGGTTCTTGCGCCCTTAATCGAATAAGTCAAGAAGACAAGCATCAACTCCGCGTGCTTCCCTGTTGGGCGCTGTAAACGTTTTGGCGCTTTGTCTCTCACAGGATGCAAGACGGTGCCCAATAAACTAGCCACCTCGCGGGGCAAATCTGAGTGTAACACAGGTGTCGATGACCGTAGCTTTATACCTCTTCAAAGATAGACCTGTTCGCTGTAATCCTAAGTTTTATTTTTTCTTCATTGCTGATCATTTTCCACATCGCAGCTTTTAGTGTTTCTCTGTCTTTATATGTGTGTGTGTGTGCCAGACACGTGTTCTTTGACTACGTCAGTCCGAGTGTTTTATTTTTTTGGTATGATCATCCGACCTGACCGTCACCTCACCAACAATGCCTTCGACTATAAGAGTTAAAATGTTATCTGTTATATTACCCTCACTCCTGGTGGTCGCCTGTTGCCTCACCACCACAGAATGACACAACTGATGTTTATGTATTTTATCCACTGTAAACAATTGTTGGATAATGCGGCCAAGAGGATACAGCACTCGCCTCCTGAACTAAGGGTTACTGGTTCGCACCCAGGGCACCTCCAGTTCACCCAGTTGTATATCGGTACTCAACTATACAGCTGGGAAGTGAGGGCTGTCACCTTTTGTACCGAAGGCTTAATACAGTGTGCTGTATCTACTCCTGGGACGCACCTTCACTTTGATGTAGTATACTGTACGATCGTTGACAATGGTATATATACAGTATATATATATATATATCAATGTATTGTCATGATTTACGGATTTCGTCATAAATATCAGTTGTGATCCTTTTGTTGTAGCTGACTTGTGTTGAGGTGAGCCAACACACACCTCTCACTCCCTTGTTTTATATGATAAGCATGTACTAACTTTTTTCTTTTGTGGAAGCCATTATTACCTCTTGTGTATAGCATGACACACACACACACACACACACACACACACACACACACACACACACACACACACACACTATTGTTTGACACACAACTTTAAGACCACCCAAGCTGTGTCTGTTGACAGACACACACATCATCGTCTGACACCAGTGTTGTGTAGCATGACAACACCATCGTCTGACACCGTTGGCATGACTACCATCGTCTGACACACCGTGCAGCATGACAACATCATCGTCTGACACACCGTGTAGCATGACAACATCATCGTCTGACACCGTTGGCATGACTACCATCGTCTGACACACCGTGTAGCATGACAACACCATCGTCTGACACACCGTTGGCATGACTATCATTGTCTGACACACTGTGTAGCATGACAATAACATCGTCTGGCACCGTGTAGCATGACACACCGTGTAGCATGACAATACCATCGTGTGACACACCGTGTAGCATGACACACCGTGTAGCATGACACACCGTGTAGCATGACACACCGTGTAGCATGACACAGATGCATGCTATATCCCTCCCTTCCCCACAGCGTCCCGTGCAGCAGGAGGTGGAGTGTTACTTGGTCCCCTGAAGCCAGACATGTTTGGACTACTTAAAGGCGTCTACGTAACGATGCAGATACATTTACACACAGCAGCAGCAGTAGCAGCAGCAGTAACAGTATATTAACAGCTCAGCCTCTGATGCCTGTATTTGATAATTCAAACCGTCGGTCTCACTACTACTCATCTCGCTACTGTACTGTAGGTAAACGAGACTAAGCCGCCATAACACCACTACGGCTTCTGGTACTGACAAGTGATGTGGTCACCTGTACTCACTCCCATCATTACCACCATCACCCCCATCTTCACCATCACCACCATCTTCACCACCATCAACATCATCATAACCACCAACATCACCACCACCACCACTACCACCATCATCATCATCATCTTCACCACCAACCTCATCACCACCAACATCACCACCACTACCACCATCATCATCATCATCATCTTCACCATCATCATCATCATCATCACCATCTTCACCACTACCACCACCACCATCATCATCATCACCACCATCTTCACCACCATCATCATCACCACCAACCTCATCACCACCAACATCACCACCATCATCATCACCACCACCACCATCATCATCATCATCATCATCATCATCATCATCACTGCCACCAACACTATCATCTCCACCACCTTCCTCATCATCATCACCTTCAACATCATAATCATCATTTTCATCATCATTATCATTTCCTCCCTCATCATCATCACCAGCACAATCATCATCATCATGATCATCACCATCATTATCATCATCACCAATACCATCTTCACCATCACCACCACAATCATCATCACCATCGTCACCATCGCCACCACCATCATTACCACCACAACCACCACAATCATCACCAACACCATCTTCACCACCATCCCCCAACCCCTTGAGACCGACCGACGTTGTCATGGTAACATCTCAAAGCTTCTCACCGCCTCCTTCATAAACCGCAACAGCTTGTGTACATAGTGCTGCATGTACACACGTGTGTACATGTGTACGGAGCCAAAGGTGTACAGAGTATCTCATATATATATATATATATATATATATATATATATATATATATATATATATATATATATATATATATATATATATATATATTAAATGTAGGTGATGCCATAAGTATTGAGTTGGAGACACGTGGTGCCACATATACAGTGCCACACAAGTGTACATGGTGTGTCATATAGTGTCACGTGTGCAGTTGGTATCATATAACATACGGGTATTGGAGATGTTATCTTTCGGGCCATCATATATATCATAAGTGTATATAGTCTCATGCATTATGAGGTGTGTGTATGGTGTGGTGACTGTAGGCAGGAAGAGTGTACAGCCATTTATGATGTCTTGTGTGGTACTCCGGGAAGGTTGCTGGAACAGGATCCAAATTTGTTAAAGATTTGTGCAGTACAGTAATATTATCTCCGTGACGTCATGTGAGAGAAGGAGCCGAGTGACCCTGAGTAGTGGTAGAATTCTGACATTGTTTAGAGCGCTGTACGTGTGTCACTGTGTCAGAGTGTTTTGTCCACAATTTAGAGAAACATAGATCGTACAAACCTTTCTGGAGTCAGCCCCGGGAAGAGAAGACTTAGGGGGGATACGAGAGAGAGGAGTTGATGGAAAAAAGAGAAGGGAGGTAAAAAGATGCTTCTGTCTCTTAAGGTAAATGTTCTTAGAATAAGATAATGGCGTCAGGACTATTGCCTTTCACTTCCCAAACAGTAAAGTTAGTTAGGTTTAAGTGAAGCTAAATCGGGATATATCCATCACCTCCATCTCTTCATTCTGGATCATCGGTTGGTTGGTATGTGTAAACTATCAACTTGTGATGTTCCTTAGGTGTTGTAGCATCAACTATGTGTGGCCAAATATCAGACAGTGTGAGTCTAGAGGCCCTCCAGGAAGGTCGAGGGTGTGTATGTTTTGAAAGTGTTGAGTCTTAGTTAGCGCGGTGCTAGACATGTATTGTACAGTACTGTATAGTGCACCTGCGGTTGGTCTACCTAGCATGCTTGAGTGTGTGTAGACATACTAGACAGGAGGGTGTAACGTGGTGTGGTTACAGAGGAACGACATGACGGAGATAGAGAAGCAGGTGATATTGACTGGTATCGTCGCCAGCCACGTAACCTCCTCCTCCAAGTTAGAGGCGTCCTCGGCGAAGCAAGAGAAGACGATATCAGTTCCTGGGGCAGCTCCCCCGCCACGGCCCCCAGTCCCCGACGACCAAGACTTGCTGGCTGTTCCTCCGCCCCGGCCCCCGGTGCCCCGGGCCTACTCGAACTCCCCACTGCCCCCAGAGGCCTACATCTACGGGTCTGCCCTGGTGTCTTCGGTGCCAGCGTCGGTGTACGGCACCCCGCGGGTAGGTGGCGGCCTTCTCGTCCATCACACCCACGTAGTCAACGTGAGTAGTGCCGCCCCTCCCGCCCACCCTGCTCACCAGCATGCCCGCCTGCTCGTTCACACGGGCGGCGGGCGTGCAGGAAGGGGCGGGCGGCGAGGACTAGTAACCCTGACCCTGGTGACGTACTGACCCAGCCACCACGTGGAGCAGTGTTAGTCACGTGTCAGTGTAGTCACAGTGTATAGTAGCTACGCTCATACTCACCCGCTAGTGCTGGTGTGACCTCACAACTAACTGATGACGACCACAATAACACGTGACGCAACTCCAGTCGCCTTACCACTCCAGCTGAGTCCTTGAGTCCGGTTCACACCGTGTGTTGTGTGGTGGGACATCCTTTATCCCAGGACCGTTTACCTACCGTAGTGTTGTCTCGCGTGTCTTGTTTGAAGTGTTCTCCAACATGTGTCGACGTCCTCACCAAAACTTGTTACTGTCAGTATCAGTCTTTGTGTCTTGGCTGTAAAGCCGTCAACCAGACTTAATCCCAATGTCTAAACTTATAATCTCTCGTCCTTGGGTGTAACTTGGCAGTAACTAGTTATAAAGACCTAACCCCACTATTTAAATTCATGAACTCCCGCCTTTGGTTTAACCAATAAGCTGTTACCTAATTCCACTTTTGAAATGTACATTATTATGGTGTGTTGCTGTGATATATTATCTGGAATATACCATGCTGATGTGTCACATGGTCAGGTGACCAGGAGGGCGATGACTAGCGGTGACCCCCAGTGAGTTACCCAATATAACCTGGTGTGGCCGCGTCGTTACAGAGCCCCGCCGATGACCCCTTCAACCGCCCTCCCTCAGGAGGTCCTGTCAAACGTAACGACGCTGAATACCGTTGGGTGACTGACGCCACCAAGTACGAGGTCAGGGAGGTGATAGAGTTTCCCTGTGTCACAGAGAGAGTGAGTACTCCGACCAGCTTGGCCTTCCCTCGCCCTAGTGTGGACCTCGCTAATGGCCCTAGTGTGGCCTTAACAAGTTCGCTGTGCGTGGGTGACCTAACAACAGCTACAAATTCTCAGGTTGTGGTTGAGTACCATTTACATTTAGTGGATTTTGTGTGGTCCTAGTGTAGCCTTCTGTAGTGGCCCAAATTGGCTACTAGTACAGTATAATAGTTCCAGCGTCGTGACCTAACAACGGCTACACACCCCCGAGACCGCCGTGGTTTGATTGTTACACTAGATACATAGAGGCGTGTGCATGGGTTTGAACCCCGAGTGATGATACTAAACACCTGTGAGTGTGGCCACGTATACCAAGCTCACACTTAAAACCTGTTGCTCCAAGAGTTTTGTTTGTTGTGTTGTCTTGCCTGTTGGAGTTTGTTAGCCGCGAGAGACATCCACTACAACGAGGAGTGGGAGCTACCAGAGGCTGCGTCACCCATTCTCTCTCTCTCTCTCTCCCTTTGCTTCCCTCCACTTACTCCTCTCGACGCACTGTTTCCAGGATATCTTCTGGTGAACCATCTAGTTTGTTTATCATATCCTTTATACAGCTTTCATTTTCTCGTGCTTTGCCTTACATCCATTTTATTTTACTTTACTCTCATATTTATCTTATTTTCAGCTATTTGTTTTATTAGCATAAGACTTTAGAGATGTACTGTATAGTTCCCCCTGGCCCACTAACTTGTGAGGAGCGCCTTCTAGAGAGTTAATAATAGTGAGGCTTGGTTACTGTACCGGAGCTTGTGTAACCCAGGTTGTTGTAGGAGACACCATCATTAATGTTACTACCACCATGTCCCTTATCACCACAACTACTGCCAGCATCCTTACCACCACCATCGTTAAGGAAGCTTCCACCACCGCCACAAACCCCACCACCACAAACCCCACCACAAACACCACCGCCACCACACCACAAACACCATCACCACACCACACATACCACCACAAACACCACCACCACACCATAAACACCACCGCCACCACACCACAAACACCACCACCACACCACAAACACCACCACCACCACACCACCACACCACCATCACCCTCTTACGTCCTTTCCAAATTTGTAAAAATTGCTTTGCTGTATTTAGACGCTGGTGCTGTAGTGACACGCTAGTTGTAACATTACCACTTGGCGGAGGTTGATGTGTGTGGCCTCAACCCCATGATGCCAAGACCTGTGTTATCAGATGTGCTGTAGAGCTAAATGATGGACGCACTTATATCAAACCTTCCGTGACAGTGTTTCTCAAAGTCTAGTAATAAGTTCAGTACCGGGAATACATAAAATATTCCCAAATTTTAATAGATATCCATTTAAAATCTTGGCTTTTTTTTTTTCGATGGCCGTGTATGTCATCCTGGCCCAACTTAGGAACTGTGGCCTAACTCCCCAGCCTAGATACCAGCTTCACATCCGCCTGACCTTGACCATCATGACAACTCACACATTGGGCTTGGTCACTGGGTGATGATCCAGTGACAGGTTAATTTTTAATACTGTACAGAGTTTGAAAATAAGGCCCACCTGCAGCACATGTGGCCAGTGTCCCCAGCACACCATCCTCATAGTTATGTCAAGTGTTTTATTACAACTGAGGTGAACCTCCTCAGTATTAAATATAGAGAGCTTTCCTCAGCTAGATAGCTTTCTTCAGTTAGATAGCTTTTCTCGGATAGCTTTTCTCAGCTAGAGAGCTTTTCTCAGCGAGATATCTTTCCTCAGCTAGATAGCTTTCCTCAGCTAGATATCTTTCCTCAGCTAGATAGCTTTCCTCAGCTAGTAAGTTAGCTTCTTAGCCCTGCCACCCTGTTGTTAATTTCTGTTAATTAGCTATTTCAGTAACCTTCTCTCTTGGCCTTTTCCTCTTCCTCCCACCGCAGAAGCAGGAGAAGCTTCGCAGCCCAGCGCTTGTCCGCAAACTGGTGAGTACGACAACCTCGCTCACTACAGCCGGTGGAGGGCCACTCACTAATACTGAACTCGGCTGTAGAAGACGGCCATTAACAGTCGATCACCTCATTTTGATGGGGTCGTTTTCCCCAACTATCCAGGGATCTTATACATGATTCCTCACTTGTTTTACTGCAACCATCCCTGGATTTTAAATTTGAATGACCATTTATCACCGGGGACTTGCACACGCTTACAAAACAGACCTAGAAATCCACAGGTGTAAATATGTTGACACTGTGAGTGAATTAAGGAACACCTCACTTCTGGTCAATTGTTTTTGTACAACTACCCAAGTCTTATGAGTGATTGATCACTTGTCCGCCAAGACTAAAACATTGATTACGGTCAAGTGATACTAACATATATACAGGTGTAAACAAGGAGAGAACACGTGGTCATTAACGCCATGTTGACTGGAATGTTTGGGTCACTAACGACAACCACTTATTATAACCCTTAAGACCTCCAGTGAAGACCTCCACCAATAATAACCCTTGAATGAAGATCTCCAGTTATAACCCTCCAGTAAACATCTCCACCAATAAGAGAGGAGGTAGCAGTAACAACAGGGCTGGACTAAGACTAACTACTTTGTGACTGGGTACCACGTGTTACTGTGTGTTAACCTGCACACACTGGCACTCTGGTCTACACATTAACCCTCTGGTTCTGGATTCTTAAAGATTATTACGTTGTTTACTATTGTGTTGGTTCGCCCATTGTCTTGGAAACCGTGACTGATAACTGACAATGTGTCCTAGTACTTATGGCGAGGAAGTTTGTCCCACTGCCCATCTTCATCTCCACCTTGCAGGCTTCTTTCATGGCGCTCGCTTGCTGCTAGTATGGTAACGGCTAACACGCGGGGCAAAAATGGTTTTCTGAAACAGTGACAAAGGATGGATGAATATGGCTGCGCCTTTTTTACTCTTGATGTTGTACTTAGTTGAATAATTTACGAATCAACTTTCTTAAAAAAATTAATAGATAAAATAAAATTACTCTAAAACCTTTGTTGCAAACAATAGCGGGTGGCGCTATTGTCGGTAGAAGTTAAGAAGACAAATTGGGTATCCAGACTTGAATAATGGCGGTAATCGTTGCCACGGTGAAGCTGGGGGGAGCCAGGGAGGAACTCCACCTTGCTCCCACACATCACCAGCTCACAGTGTTGATGTTCCTAGTATTGCTAAACTTTAAACTATTTCTAAAAATGAAAAATATTGACGTTCATTATATCACATATAAATCTATTTTTTTTCGCGTTATTAGGAAATTCATGATGCAGCACCGTGAACTCAACCTGAGTCAACTAGTTCTTACACATCCGATCAAACAGGAAAGGTTAACGTAAGAAACTGTGAGACCGCCATCATTGTATCACAGCTATAGTGAGGAGACAAATGGAAACTTTCTCACATAAGTTTAAGATGAGAAACATTGAGAATCCACCGCCAGAGTATACAACTGTGTTACAATATGGACTAACTTGGGAATATCAAGTGCGTTTGCATGAGGTGCATGAGGAGACAGACTTAGCCTGTGTGAGGAATAACGCAGCTATTAATGATTTTAATTATTATTGACTAAATTTTAATGAAGGAATTCTATCGTTCTATTTGTGTTGTTATATAAACCATTATATTGTTATGTTTACTGTAAGAATATATTTAACTATGTGAATTCTTTTTATTTAGGGAATTAGAGTATAAGGTAAGTAATTATTATCATCTGGAAATAATTGTTTTTGTGTAGATAGGTGAAAGGGAATTATTATGGAAGGGTTTAATGCGCGTGGGGGGTGAAAGGAATCATTTTATGTGGTATTATAGGGGAAATAATTATCATGTGAGGGATGATCACACGAGGTGTTCACCAGTTGAAGGTTTCTAATCTACGTAATCAAGACAAATTAATTTTAAAGTAATGCTAACATGGGAAATATATCTGTAATTTCTACATAAATTGACTACGTCCACTTAGGAACATTTCACTTCACCACTTAACGGTTATCTCGCTCACTTATAAGCACTTACAACCCGACACTAAAAAATATCTTTACGATTTTATATGAGACAAGAATTATGACACAACGGGCGAAGATTTTGACAACCCTGCGGAAACGCCTGGACCTTGGGGAGCAGAGTGAAGTAATGCAACCAACTTTTTTTTATCAAGATTTTCAACATTATCGTCGCTGTAAAGAACTACAAAAAGAAAAAAATACATGATTTATTTTTTTTCAACAACAACAACAACATACTGTATATTCAGGTTCTGTTGCCCAAAATAAGGAGGAACTCAGTAACCGCAACCACATAATTATAATCTTAGGTTTGGCCGCGCGAGTAGACTACGAGACCTGGAAAAATAGTCCCCACCCAGCCGGCAGCACCGACCCTATTGCTATACCGGGTACCTTGTAAATATTTACTTTGTTATCTCCGTAGAAAATGATAAGGGGAAAAAAGATAGAGAATATTTGACCTTTTGTATCGTGATTTTATATTGTGATAAATCATAGTTGATAATTTAAGTATATAAGATTACGAAGTTCTGTGTCTAATAGTTATGGGAGACATGGGAGGTATGGGAGACATGGGAGGTATGGGAGACATGGGAGGTATGGGAGACATGTTAGGTATGGGAGACATGGGAGGTATGGGAGACATGGGAGACATGGGAGGTATGGGAGACATGGGAGGTATGGGAGACATGTTAGGTATGGGAGACATGGGAGGTATGGGAGACATGGGAGGTATGGGAGACATGGGTAGGTATGGGAGACATGGGAGGTATGGGAGACATGGGAGGTATGGGAGACATGGGAGGTATGGGAGACATGGGAGGTATGGGAGACATGGGAGACATGTTAGGTATGGGAGACATGGGAGGTATGGGAGACATGGGAGGTTAGTTCGTCTTGGTGTTGTTGTTTTGATGGTAACACACAGTTTTGAAGACAGTTGTGTCGGAGAATGCAGGTGTGTCGGGTGTAAAGGGTTGCAGGTGTGTGTTGGGTGTAAAGGGTTGCAGGTGTGTGTCGGGTGTAAAGGGTTGCAGGTGTGTGTTGGGTGTAAAGGTTGCAGGTGTGTGTCATGTAAAGGGGTTGCAGGTGTGTGTTGGGTGTAAAGGTTGCAGGTGTGTGGGTGTGCAGGTGTCGGGGCTACAGGGGTGGGTCAGGTGTGGGGCGTTACAGGTGAATGTGTGGGCGTTACAGGGGCGAGGTCGTGGGCGCTGCAGGGGTGTGGGTCAGGTGTAGGTGTGTGTCGGTAGCAGATGGGGTGTGTGTCAGGTGGCGTTGGCAGGGCGAGTGTGTGGGCGTTGCAGGGTGGGCTGTGTGTAGGTGCAGGTGTGTGTCGGTGTAGAGATGCAGGTGTGTGTGTGTCAGGTGTAGGGGAGTCAGGTGTGGGACTTTGCAGGGGTGAGTCAGGTGTGGGAGTTAGCAGGTGAATCAGGTGGGCGTTACAGGGTGAATCAGGTGTGGGCGTTACAGGGTGAGTCAGGTGTGGACTTTACAGGGGTGAGACAGGTGTGGGTTACAGGGGTGAGTCAGATGGGCGTTACAGGGGTGAATCAGGTGTGTGGGTTACAGGGGTGAGAGTCAGGTGTGGACTTTTACAGGTGAGTGGGGTGTAAGTTACAGGGGTGAGTCAGGTGGGCGTTACAGGGGTGAGTCAGGTGTGGCGTTACAGGGGTGAATCAGGTGTGGGCGTTACAGGGGCGAGGCAAGTGGGCGTTACAGGGAGAGCAGGTGTGGGCGTTACAGGGGTGAGTCAGGTGTGGGCGTTACAGGGTGAGCAGGTGTGGGCGTTACAGGGGCGAGTCAGGTGTGGGCGTTACAGGTGAGTCAGGTGGGCGTTACAGGGGTGAATCAGGTGTGGGCGTTACAGGGTGAGTCAGGTGTGGGCGTTACAGGGGGTGAGTCAGGTGTGGGCGTTACAGGGTGAGTCAGGTGGGCGTTACAGGGGTGAGTCAGGTGGGCGTTACAGGGGTGAATCAGGTGTGGGCGTTACAGGGGTGAGTCAGTGTGGGCGTTACAGGGTGAATCAGGTGTGGGCGTTACAGGTGAGTCAGGTGTGGGCGTTACAGGGGTGAATCAGGTGTGGGCGTTACAGGGTGAGTGTGTGGACTTTCAGGGTGAGTCAGGCGTTACAGGTGAATCAGGTGGGCGTTACAGGGTGAATCAGGTGGGTTACAGGTGAGTCAGGTGGGCGTTACAGGTGAATCAGTGTGGGCGTTACAGGTGAATCAGGTGGGCGCAGCAGGTGAGTCGGGTGTGGCGTTACAGGGTGAATCAGGTGTGGGCGTTACAGGGCGAGTCAAGTGTGGGCGTTACAGGGGTGAATCAGGTGTGGGCGTTACATGGGCGAGTCAAGTGTGGGCGTTGCAGGGGTGGGTCAAGTGTAGGGGTGCAGGTGTGTGTCAGGTGTAGGATAATGAGGAATTGTTGGTCTGTTTCACCATCTCCTCCCATTTTCTCCCTCCCTCCTTCCTTTCCCTCTCCTCACCCTCCTTTCACCTCACCTCCCAAGACCTGCTACCCCGATATAGCTGTCGCCGAGCTTATGAATCTCCTCAGACGGTGGTGGGAGCGAGAGGTAGGTGTGGAGGTGATGAGAGGCGGTGATGAATATGGGCGTGGGGGGTGGAGGGAGAGAGGGTATGGGGAGGGAGAGAGGTGGTGTGGCGGAACAGGAGGGAGGGAGAGATGGTGTGGGAGGACAGGAAGGAGGGTGAGGGAGAGATGGTGTGGGAGAACAGGAAGGAGGGTGAGGGAGGTAGATAATTTTAGTCTAGGAGACGGAAACAGAGAAACCAGTTATCAGATGAACAACGATGTTATAGAGAAATCCGAATGTGAGAAAGATTTAGGAATAATTATAAGTAGTACTGTAATCTTAAGCCAAGTAAACAATGTGTATTTGCTCAAAACAAGGCTAACAAAGTACTTGGGTTCATACAGAGT